AAGGCCGGAGCCGAGAAAATGACCAGGGGTTAAACAAAAAAAGATCGCTTCAGGTCTGGGTGCAAATCTGCAGAAGGGTGCAAATCGAGGAGCCGGTTGACAGGATCCATGGACGTCGGAAACCAGGGTACAGGTCCAAGCTGCACCCGACGGCCGAAGTGGAGGAAAGACTGGCGGTTGAACTAATGTTACATCGTCGGAGATCTGGGTGCAACTTTTTCGGGGGGACGTGAAGGTGGGTCAGGGGCAGAGCTGGGCTGGAGAGAAAAACCGCTCCAAACGGCCCCTGAGAGCATCCAACTGGGCTCGTCCCCAGACCCCACCTTGGGACAACAACCCCCCTCTTCGAACCCCCGACTCTTGAGAGGGTTGCCAATCGAAGAACCGGCTGACACAGTCGAGAAAACGTCGGAAACCTTGGCACAGATCCCCGACGCTTCCCCGCGGGGTAACATCGCTCGCCTCAGGCAGGCTTCGAAGGTCCTGGGGCCCGAATACGACCCCCCCGAGGTACGAAATCCGCCGACCCTGTCGGCGTGTGTGAGGGGCTTCGTCCGTTCGAGTCGTCATCTCCGTCATTCGTTTGTCGTCGTCTCTGTCGTCCTCTTCCCCCCCTTTCCCAGGGACCGCCTCAGCCCGTCATTCGTTTGTCGTCGTGGCTGTCGTCCTCTTCCCCTTCTTTCCCAGGCGTTGAGGAACGCCGTAATGGAGTTGAAGGGAAGCCCCTTCCCTTCGATTCCTCCCCCGCCGGGGGGGGGGGGGGGGGTAGGGGGGGCTGTCCTGCGGGGGGGTCCCGGGGGGGGGGTCCCGGGGGGGGGGGGGGTCAGATACGACGCTCTCCCGGAGATTCCCGGAGCTCAAAAGAGTTCCAAAAAGGGCCAAGTGTGGTCTAAGATGCCCCACAAACAGTCCACGAAAACCCCGACTCGCCTGACGATCTGTCCAAGACGCCTTCACGGCTTCCAGACGGCCCAAGAGGCCTGCAAGACGCCCCAAGAGGCATCCAGGAGCTTTCCCACGAGAGCCCCAAGAGGCAAATCCGCCGGCCCCCTTGTGGGGCCACCAGGCTGTAGGCGCGTGATTCGCAGTTTCCTGTACCAGTCGTAGGTTGTAGTTTCCAGTGTTACAGTTCTGCTTCTTGCTGGTTACTGTAACTAGTTGACTTCTTGCTGGTTACTGTAACTAGTCGATTGACCGCGCGAGGGGGGGAGGCCCAAACAGGATTTTTAGCCTCACCTGGGCGCGTTGTCTGAAAAGCTCGGGGGGCTCGAAATCGACACCCCTCACGCAGATCCGCGGGGTCTGGGTCCAAAAACACATGGGCTTTGCCACATTTCTGAAATTCGGTGCCACCCCTCACGCAGATCCGCGAGGTCAGGGTCCAAAAACAAATGGGATTTGCTACATTTTTGAAATTCGGTGCCACCCCTCACGCAGATCCGCGGGGTCAGGGTCCAAAAACACAGGGGATTTGCCACATGTTTAAAATTCGGTGCCACCCCTCACGCAGATCCGCGGGGTCAGGCTCCAAAAACACATGGGATTTGCTACATTTCTGAAATTCGGTGCCACCCCTCACGCAGATCCGCGGGGTCAGGGTCAAAAAAACAAATGGGATTTGCCACATGTTTAAAATTCGGTGCCACCCCTCACGCAGATCCGCGGGGTCAGGGTCCAAAAACATATGGGATGTGCAACATTTCTGAAATTTCGGTGCCACCCCTCACGCAGATCCGCGGGGTCAGGGTCCAAAAACACATGGGATTTGCCACATTTCTGAAATTCGGTGCCACCCCTCACGCAGATCCGCGGGGTCAGGGTCCAAAAACACAGGGGATTTGCCACATTTCTGAAATTCGGTGCCACCCCTCACGCAGATCCGCGGGGTCAGGGTCCAAAAACACAGGGGATTTGCCACATTTCTGAAATTCGGTGCCACCCCTCACGCAGATCCGCGGGGTCAGGGTCCAAAAACACAGGGGATTTGCCACATTTCTGAAATTCGGTGCCACCCCTCACGCACATCCATCGCAAGGCGTGGTAACCCAAACTGCGAGTACTCCCTCGGCCCTTCAATCCCAAGGTGTGGTAACCAAGCTCGTAAACCATACACGTCTTACCAATCGCCCTGTGTGGTAACCCCTCTTGTGATCAGTTGGTTTTGCCGATTGCGAATCGGCCTCGCATGAAGTTCCGATACTGCTGCACGACAGCGCCAAAGCCTCATGACTTAGCTCTTCCATGGCCCATTCTCCGAGAGAGGGGGCCGGCGGCAGGGGGCGAAGCCCTTACGGATTTTGCAGGATTCTAGCGCTCTTGCCTCTGACGTTTGCCAACGCGCCAAGACGGCCCAGGAGGACCCCAATATCGCACCGAGACACCCCAAGAGGCGCCCCAAGCATCCCCTAACGGTCCAAGAGGGCCCAAGACGGCCCAAGACGCCTCCAGGACGTCCCCAGAAATCCTCGGAGGCTGCCAGAGAGCCCCCCCAAAGAAGACCATGAAAAATGAAACATCGACTCGAACCCCGATCCTCGATCCTCCTCCTCATCCTCCTCTGCCTCCTCCTCCTCATCCTCCTCCTTCTCTGTTTCCCCCTTGCTCTTCGTCGTTTTTTCCCCCGCACCACCCTGAAACCTGCATGAGCCTCCCAGAGCCCCCCCCCCCTTCTCCCTCGGCCCACCTCCTCAAACGCTCCAGCCAGAGGAGAATCGAACACCAGCGTAATCGACTCGAAGGGGACCCCGTTCCTGTAATCCCTTCCCCACGAGAGAGGGGAGGTCCCGGGGGAGGGTGAGAGGGAGGAGAAGATCCCGCGGGGTCCCTCGAAGCGACCTGCGAATCGTGACCCCCCCCCCTCCCCCTTCTCCGACCGAGAACGCCCAAGAGAGCCCCAGGAACACCCCAGGAGAGGCCGAAGAAGGGGAAAACCAACCCACATTTCAAGCTCCCCACTCCAAGAGGCTACCAGGAGGTCCCGAAATCGCCCATGTTTTCTCGCCTGCTCGACTTCCAAGCTCCATACACTCCACGTCAGCCCCAGTTGCCTCCGAGAGCTCCCCAGAACGGCCCAAGTACACGCCAGGATGGCCCGGGAAGGCCCCAAGACGGCCCAAAGGCCCCCCAGGACAGCCCAAGAGGGCCCCAGAAGGCCCCAACAAGGACTCGCGATCGTCGTCGCCGTCGCCGTCGTCGT